TACACTGATGTCCACAAGACTGTGGTCTTCATGGTCTTCACACCTAGTGTTGTGAGACTGCTAATTTTCAAGGCTCTCTGGAGCTGGGGAGGAATGGATGAGAGCAAGTCAAATTACTATCCCACAAATCCTTCTGTTCTTACTGAGGCTTAGCAGATTTTCTTGAATAAATGTTCCTCAAATTGCTGCAACTCTTTGGTTAATGTACAGAGCTCTGCAAATGTTGATTTTGACAATTTTTCTCAGTGCTTTCCTCACTTTTATGGAGGGGCAGAGTTACAAAGATGTTCCCTCTGCCATCCTCAAATCCTGCCCCATCCCCCAATATTTTATAAGCATAATTAAATACTTGAAATTTCAACAGGAACTCTGGACACTCTAAATATCTTTCCCTATTATACAGCAAAAATTTCTAGAAAAGAATGCCCTTGAGGAAGAAGAATGCCCTTGAGGAAGAAGAAAAAGAGAGGATCTTTTCTTTTTTTTTTTTTTTAAGATTTTTTATTTATTTGATAGAGAGAGACACAGCGAGAGAGGGAACACAAGCAGGGGGGAATGGGAGAGGGAGAAGCAGGCTTCCCACTGAGCAGGGAGCCCGATGCAGGGCTCAATCCCAGGATCCTGGGATCATGATCTGAGCCGAAGGCAGATGCTTAACGACTGAGCCAACTAGGTGCCCCGAGGATCTTTTCTTCTCTAGGCATCCCTCCCAGTGCAGTAGCAATACAAGAGAATTTCCCCCACATTCAGGGAAGGCCAACAAGGATGTTGTGCCAACTGCTTATAAGTAAGAAATGTTAGTGGTATGATTTTTATATCCCTGGGACTTCTGACACATCTATGAAACAACTAGAGAAAAGAGACTTTATAGAAACTTCTACCAACAAACCTCATTTATGAGCACCTACCATGTATCAGATACTGTACTAGTTGTGAATATGACAAACATGGCCCAGCTATCTTAGAACATATGACCTCAGGGGGCTACACTGAACTAAAGAGGTGATGAGAATACAGTATAAATGCTTAAAAAGAATGTATAAGGTGCTTTTGGATACATGCTAACTTATTCTCTTAAAAGAAATGACCACTTCTCTAACATCTGAAGGATAAACAGGAATTGGCTGTGAAGGGGATAGAAGGAGAAAAGGAAGGGGTAAAGGGAGGTGAGACTATCACACGGGATGGTCTGGTGGGAGGAAGAATTTTGGCTAAATTAAAAACAGTACAGGGCAGGGCAGTGGCAAGAAGTATGGACACAGTAATAAACCTGGAATTTTGGGTAAAGCTGAATCTCTGACCAAAATTATAAAGTTGGAAAGGAGTATTAGCCATGGGATTACATGGTGAATTAACCTTCACAATGAATGTTAATGTCTGTTGGAGATAGAACAGAATGAGTGAAAAATCCATTTGGAGAGCAAAGCTTTGGTTTTAACAAGAAGACTTTAACAAGAAACTTTAACAGCAGTTGAACCAGAGTGGAAAGGTTTTTTTTTTTAGAAAATGAATGACAAGAAAGGGAAAACAGAGAGCAGAGAACAGTGTTTGCATCTGAGTGCATATCCCCAGTTAGCAAGGACACTGAACACTGGAGGTCACTCTCCAAACATCCATTGTACCTCTTCCTCCTTCCTAACAGAATCCTAATTTAGTTCATGTGTTTACTTCCCCTGAGGTATTCCACTGGACTTAGAGAAATCTGACCTTTTCCTGGCTTCAGGAGTTGATCTATTGGTTTAAAGATAATCTCATAGCCCCTTGCCAGTAATTCTTCCAGAATGGAAATGTGACTTAACTGGCTCAATCAGACTGAAGGAAAAGATTTTTGTTCCCTGTGTGATGGAGAGGTACATTCTTTCTCCTACTGGAAGCCTGCTGCCCCAGCCTGTGGCTAGCTACTTGTTTCTCAGACTCCTTTGTAATTGTGAGTGCCCATGTGACATGGTTATGATCACCAGGACAAGGTCTCCTAAGAGGTTTCTGGAAGGCCATTTGGGCCTGGTGTGGTGGCTCGACAATGTTGAAGCTCTCAAATACTTTCTAACCTTCCATTCCAGGTGCTGCTGGCAGCCGTCTTGACTTAAGCAAGTGCAAGGACAGAGCTGACCAGGGAGGAAGTGCAGAAACAAGAAAACCTTCCACCCGGGTGCACAATCCCTGAAGTCCGCCCTACTGCTACGCTGGGCTTTCTTCACCCACGTCAAATTCCTTGTTGCTTAAGCCAGGTTCCAGTTGCATTTCTGTTACTTGAACTTGAAAGCATCCTAAAAGCCACAATAGGGAAATAAACTCACAAAGAGACCAGGAGAAGAAGATTAGATGGTAGAAAGAGAATCAGAAGAGCTCAGTGTGATACAATCTGATGTAGGATGAAATTTTACAATGGAAAGAACTGCTGACATGTCAGTGCTCACTGTAGGAGATTTATCCAGGAAGATGTTTTTCCTGTACTATTTCTGCTTTGGATATAGAACCTCTTTAAATCAATCTGTGTTCATGGTCACCACACTATGGTTTTCTGACTTATAAAATATTCAAGTCTAACTGATGGCAGCCTACTTTACAATTGGATTATGATGATTATAGTGTGCTTTTACAATGAAATACAGAATTAAGTATGGTCGAGAAAGACTTATTTAATGTAGGTAAATTGACACTACATTGAAACTTTCTTTCCCCAAGTAGAAACAAATTCTTCAATGAAGTCTTATACATCTTATATTCTATTCAAGATGTTCTTTAGCAAAACAAATTTTTTTTGAAAAATGTAAAACACTTAAAAGTAGAGAGAACAGTGTTAACTTCCATATATCTGTCACCCAGATCCCCAAATTATCAATATTTTGTAACTCTGCTCTTCCTTTCCCATCTCTCTCAGATAAGTGAATGTAGTAGCTACATTGCCATTGGTAAGAATGGGCCTCTTAATTTTGCACCTACTTATTATACTTTACCCTACCTGCATGAGCGGGGCAGGTGTTCGCTAGACTAGGATTGCTGCCTGCAATCTAGACCAGCACAGTGGTCAAACCTCATGTCCTTTCCAAAAGTGGAAACATATTGAGCATAAATGAAGAGAAGGAGGAATAGTAGCTGGGAGTAAGGGAATGAACATATGGGTTTTGTAATGGAGGGAAATCCAGTATTACATCAACACCTCAAAAGAGGCTCAGGGCAAGAGATGATACTCTCAATTATACCAGATGCATGAAAAGGTAAAGCCATATATTTCTAGGACCACTCATACTTTTGGAACCTGCTGAGAGCTGATGGAGGCCTGCCAACTTGAGTGGCCTTGCCCTGGGAGCTATTTTCAAATGGTATAATGATGGGCTGGACTAATTATTAGTGATTGAATGGAACGCTAGTAACATGCCAATAGCTATTAACTGTTATGATCCTTTGTTGTGGGCACCTCCAATTCATAGCCAATCAGAAGCATAGGGGACAACCTGAACTTGCAATTGGTGTCTGAAATGGGATGGGGGCAGTCTTGTGCGACTAGGCCCTTAACCCGTGCAACCTGATGCCACCTCTAGGTAGATAGTGTCAGAACGGAGTTAAATTTGTAGGACACCCAGCCTGTGTCCTCTGAGAACTGGAGAACCGCTTGGTGGTACTGGAAAACACACATCGGAGATGTAAAATCAGCTGTCTGAACATGAGAATGTGTTTTCTTATATACGAACAATGTCTAGATGGCAGTTAGATTCTCAAGCTGGATCACTGAGGCCCATCTAACCTATAAGGTGGATGACATTTACATTTTTATTAAAACTACGAGTTAATTTACCTCCCACTTTATTAGTACATCTAAGAAGAAGAAAGAGCTTGCCAAAGCAATCATAAACTTTCGACCAGTCTCTACCAAAATTACAAAGTAGACATTCTTACCATTTGGATTTAATTTACCAAAATAAAAACTTCTAATTTTTCTCTTGTGTTTTTTGTTTTGTTTTGTTTGTTTGTTTTGCCATTAAGTTGTTAGAATCACTCAGTTTCTTTATCCTACAAATCTGCCACAACATGTTCTAAAAATATTTGCCTTTTTTTTTTCTTCTATCCACTCAGAAGTAGTGGTTCTCAAAATGTGGTCCAGGGATACCTAGCAGATTCCTAGACCCTTTGAAGGGGTTCTGCAAGATCAAAACTATTTCCTTCATAATATAAGGATGTTATTTGCCCTTTTCATACTCAATCTTTCATGGTGTACAATGGAATTTTCCAGACGCTACTTGACATATGACACTATCACCACTCTAATGGATGTATATGTGAAGTAGATATGAGAACACTCTTATCCTGTATTAAGCCAGACATCAAAGAGATTTGTAAAAATATAAAACCATTCCACTTTTCTTACTACATTTTTTGTTTTGAAAATAAAGTTATTTTTTTAACTTATAAGATTTACTTACTTATTTTGAGAGAGAACAAGCAGGGGGAGGGGCAGAGGGAGAGAGAGAATCTCCAGCAGACTCCTCGCTGAGCACAGAACCCAACGTGGGGCTCAATCTCATGACCCTGAGATCATAACCCAAGCCGAAACCAGGAGTTGGATGCCTAACCAACTGAGCCACCCAGGCACCCCTAAAGTTATTTTTTAAGTTATTTATATTAACATGCAATGAGGTTTTTGTTATTTTTAAAGAATTCATAAATATTACTTTTATTTTTAATTTCTAATAATCATATTGATAGACATAGCCCCCCCAAACACACAGACTCCTTGGGGTGCTCCCTATTTTTTAGAGTGTAAAGGGGACCTAAAGTCAAAATGTTTGAGAACTGCTCTTCAAGAAAACTTCCTTTCTTCATCATCTAAACTGAACTTTTGGCTAATGGGATGAAAAGATTCTTTTTGCAATCTTTTTGCAAATGTCGCTGGATGTAAAATCTATCTCCTCCCTGACATTCCTCTCTGTGGTAAGCATTATCTGATTTTGAGTAGGAAAAAGACAACGATTAGTGAGGATGAAGTCTAAGTTAGCACTCACCTTCACTAATTCTGTGTAGCCTGTTTCTCTTGGGGTCCACCACGGCTGGGCTTTCAGTCCATGCACGTTGTACAGAGAGCGCTGCCATACAGATGCAAAATGGCCCCTCTTGTGCCCAAGCTCATACCACTTATATGCCTGAAAGAACAGAAAGCTTGAACTACGTACACGTGAAGCATTTCTATTAATTAAAAAATAGAGAATCACTTTTGTAACATTTAAATAAAGAGTTTGCTAGTCAGGTGCCCAAATTTGTTAGACTGGTGAAAATACCATTATTTGACTGGGTTTCTGATAATGACATATTATTCTTATAAATGCATGTCTGCATTTTATTTTCCCTCTGAGGCTTTATGCTCTCCTAATGCGGATTCATGCTGCACTCATTTTGGTCCTCCTCGGAGCGCCCAGCACAGAGTCAAGGACTTCTTTGTCAAGTGGATAAATAATCTAAGAAACCATAATGGATTTTATCTTTTAGCTTTCATTTCTCAAGTTCTACTCTTATGTTTCCTTTAAAAGGAAAGGATTTTAATAATTTCCTCAAAGGTATTTGATTTACTGAATAGGATTGTGAAAAGGAAAAGTGACTTCTTTTCACACATATCTTCTTCCCATGTCTGCATTTCAGAAGTCGGCCCCAAGGTAACAGAGTATAAATCCTCCATTAAATTAAATAGACAGAAAGGAAATATCATTCTGATCTGGCAATAAATATAGCAAGAGCCCATATTACACTTTTTAAAGGGGAATTTTGGTTCCTTTTCATTTTTGTTTTTTTCTGCCACGAGGGATAACATTTGTGGCTTTAGGCTAGTTGGAACACGATACGATTTGCCTCCAAGACTAGCCTTTTCAGGGACAGCTGGCTGCAGAGTATGCTGCTCCATATGTCTCCTTCCAGTCACACCCTCACCATATGCTCCCCAGGGGCCCTCCCCACAAGGTTCTTGCACCGCACACGCTCACTCCATTGTCTTCAGGTTGGACGATGCTCCAGTGCTGTACTTAATAGTATCGCCCTCATGCCTCTAAGTCTGAGCTAATGATGACTTTTTGAAGAGTGATTTCAAATACACACTGTGATCAATTAAACACAGGCATTTAATATCAGGTGGACTAAGAAGATATTCAAAAGAATAGCTTCATAAAACTCCAGATGTACTTTATTATTATTATTTTTAAAGATTTATTTATTTCAGAGAGAGAGAGAGAGAGAGAGACAGTGAGCATGGGGGGGAGGGGGAGAGGGAGAGGGAGACAATCTCAAGCAGACTCCCTGCTGAGCATGGAGCCTGATACAGGGCTCCATCTCACAACCCCAAAATCATGACCTGAGTTGAAACCAAGAGTCGGACGCCCAAATGACTGAGCCATCCGGGCACCCCCCAGATATACATTAAATGTAAAAAATATTACCTTTTAAAAGTCTTACAATTCTTAAGTCAAAATTTCCTTCATTAGAAAAGTCAAGTGTGATAACAATACCACTTCGTATTTCCAGTAACACTTTTCAGTTTACAACTCACTTTTCCATGTGCAATCACATTTGATCTAATAACCTCAAATATGTCCATTTTTACAAATGTTGAAACTGAGGTTTAAAAAGGCTAAATTATCTTGAACTATAACCCAGGGCTCTGGCAACTTATTCCACTCTCCTCCTTTGTGTCATTAAAAAAGAAAAAAACTACCAAAAGTGATATTCTTATTTATCTTTCTCAATAATATCTCAAATCAAGAATGTACCTACTAATCATTCTTCTATGATTTCCTTGAAATACATGTAAGTTGTAGCCATAAAGGGGTTTCTTAAAAAGCCAGAAACTTAAAATGGCTAATCATTGTCTGAATTTAAAAACATAATAATAACATTTTACTTCTGAAATTTATTTGACTTTTTAAGTTATTTCTGTCCAATTTAAATTTAGGATTTTATTTCCTATAGGAAATAAACAACAATATTAATTATCACAGGTGATTTTTTGGAATGCTTATTTTGAGTCAGCAGCAATTCATTTTATGGACAAGGCACACTGTCAAAGTGAGGAAAAAAAAATACTATAGGAAAACCAAACCAGCAAAGCTCACAGCTCTAGTTCAGGAGTCAGAAGTCAGAATGTAGCCCTGGACCTAATATTCACCATGCTGAATGCCTGGGCAAGTCACTTTGCTTACAGTGGCATGTTTAAACTATCTACAAAGTCTTTTCTCACACTCAAAGTCAGTCCAGGAGGACCCTTCATTTTGTAGCCCCCTGCTATTCAACTTTTAAAGACACAAAACCATGACAATGATATGCTGGGAATTTTAAGAAATTATCTTCAATTACACAGGGGACCCAATAAAATCAGTCAGATTGCTTTCTTACAATACAAATTGCTAGAAAATCAGTGATCAAGTTAGAATCTTCTGAAAATTCTCTCTTTACTATTTCCCTTTTATGCCTCGAATCAAGGATGTGAAAATAAACAGATCACCTGGGGATCCCTTCTTACATGTGTTTTATATCAATGTCTTCTATGCTTCAAATTACCGCCAGGTGTGGGTCACACACACACACACACACACACACACTCACTACCCAGAAATAATATGTCCACAGAACTATCTCCACTCAGAAGAGCCCAGGCCCCGTGTGTCAGGTGTGGTCCCAGCTGGAGCCTGTCCCGCCTGGAGCACACAAGACACACTTGTGACAATGGCTGGCTGCCGCTGGACTGTGGAGACTGTGAGTGCCATCCCTTGGACATACGACTTTATGTATATTTTGCACCGTAGGGTTTTTGAACACACGATGGCCTGGAAGAAAGTAAGACTCAAGCAAGAAACAACAGCTGGGCTCCTCCAGCCATGCCTGAGGGTGGACGGTGACAAAGGGCTACACTGAGCGAGCAGGCGGGAAGGTGGGACGGGAGCCAGAGGCTGAGGAAGCCGACTCCCCCGAACCTGGTCCTGACCTCACTGGAGAGAAGGGGGCAATATCATCAAATGAGAGACGGAGCCCAGGAAGAACAACGGTTTAGGGGAAGACAAGGGAGCTGTCCTCTCGTGTGGGGACACTAAGCAGGCAGCAGACACGGGAATCTGGACTCGGAGCAGGAGACGAGCTGTGGGTTTACAGGTTCTAGAAATCCCAGGAGCAGCTGCAGCTGAACCACTGCAAGACCATTATGGTGTGTCTCCCTCCCTCTTCCTGCCCATTTGAAACAAACCTGTTAGGAAAATCTTCTGCAAAACCAATCTCATTGTCAGCCTCTGCAGCACAGAGGCTGTGGGTTTGCTTCTCTTTTGGTGCCTGAGCAGAGCCCCATGCATCGGAACACGGAAGATGGCTGCTTCCCGGTTTGCAAACTCAGAGCGTGACTGTCCGTTCGCAGACCAATACCCAAGATTGAGAATATCCGGACATGGGGCTCCTATAAGCTTATTTTTGTTCTCCTGTAAGGATGAAGCCTTGAGAATTTTTTAAATTCAAGAACTATGATGTCCTTTGCATATTAACGATAATTAAGCTGATAGAACAGTCCCCTAGGTTCAAATCCCAAGCCCCTAACAAATGTTTAGTAGTGGATTCTTTGCCCTTGAAGTAAGGGCTGTTTTCATCTAAGATGTGAGAATAAATCGCAGACTTCTTTTATCTGTCTTTGCCCTGGACCCTAAGATGTTCAAAGATAAATTAATTAGTGACAATTACATTTACAGCAATCAGACATGAACATTTATGCAGTGTGAGATACCACAGCAAAATCTTTCTTATCCTTGTCACTCAAAGGAGGTACCAGGCATTTATATCTAAAACAATGAAGGAACACAAAAATGAGAACGAATCAGCAAGTTATTTTCCCTTCTTCACTTCTAATACTTCATTTTATTCCAGTTGACTGACTGATAGGTTAGAGGGGAAAGGGACATATGCACAGTAACGTATAAAGAAAACAGTGTCAATCATCCAAATCTCTCTTACCCCAAATTGGTTCATGTGTCTTGCTGGCAATTACCCCATCACAAACCCCCCTGCTCTTATGAACCCTCACTTGTCCAGATGGTTCCGTGTTCTTATTAATTTTAGAAACCTGAAGCTGTGTTGTCTTGCTGACTGCATTTTACAACATATATGGAAGGCAATGGTTACAAAGATTCAGTGTCTCGCTTCACCCCTTTATCCAGGTCTGTAAGGAGAGCCCAGCCTAGAGCCCTGTGATGATGTAAGAGAAAAGGTAGGGTTCACTCCCCACCAACAGTGATGGTGATCATGACAATTTGGGAACTTCAGTACACAGATGTCATGATTAATAATAATCTCATGTTATGTTTAAAGAAGCTGACATGGTACTCAGAAAAAAAAAAAAAAAGCAATAATCACAAAGAAAACACGTAACTTGTTTTAGCTAGTACATTTTCCGTGTCAGTATCTGTCATTACTAGAGCTACAGGTATTCATCTGAAAGTTGGTATTAAATACCAGAAGGTAATTTACATAATTAACCACTGGGTTCAGTGTGTGCTTAGGACTCAGCTGAACAAAGAGTTCATTCTAAAAATAACTACTTTTTAAATTCCAAAAATAAAATAAAAATAAATCTAGGCATACTGTTAAAATATTTTTAAAATATTTAAGCAACTTCAGAGATACCTTTTCATTTCATAATTTTAAAAATATTTTTTTCAGGGCAATGCTTCTCTCTTTATGCACCCAGACCCACACGTGTGCACGCACACACTTACACACATACATATACATGTACTAAGGGAGAGGCTGCTCTTATGATTACTCAGCTAGTTTCTTGAAAGAAACTATAAAGGTCAAAAATCCCAAAAACTCTTTCTAGGCTTGTAGGAGTTGTTGGGCTGTTTGAAAAAAAGTTTAAATAGTTAAACAGTTTCAATCACCACCTTCAAAGTGTATGCTCAAAATATTTTTTCAAGTATAAATTTCTCCTAGAGTTACTTGCCTCCCTCTTGCAACTCTACCCTCTGTTAAGAGAACAAAAAATTCACAAGTTCATTACCTCTTTGTTCCCAACCCGCTGCATGGCATCCCCCAGGTGGAAGTAAAACCTCCCATCATCAGTGCCAGGATCCCCAGATTCTATTCCTTCCTGTAAAAAGGACAGTGTTCATATTTAATGAAAAAAATTAAATACTAGCTTTAATTCATTGATTTATTTCATTTTTATGTACCATACAAAAATCTAAGGCCCAGAAAAATTCATCTCAATTTAAAGTTTGGCAATTAGGTTACTGGTCAACATTTAGAATGCAAATGCAAAAAGAGGTGATAAAGCTAAATTTAATAATACATTTATCATTAGTTAACAATGTAATAGACCAGAAAATTAGTATGTGAATCATCTCTGCAGATCACTATCCCAGAGAATTTCTTGAGAGGGTATCTATCCCATTTATTTTGCTCTCCAAATCTGGAGGTTTTTTATTCTTGAACTAAAATGTTTAGTTGTTCATAAGATGTTTGAAGTGATAGAGACCCAAGTGAAAATAATATTTCTTTCTACTCGAAACAAATGTATCTTCACCTTTTAATGAGATCTTCTATAAAACTTACAATAGGATTAAAGCCAGCTGGACTCTTTGAAAATGTAGTTGTTATTAAACAAATCCTATGCTAAAACATTTAGCGATTTCTACCCCATCTCCCACATACAGACTGAATGTATATAAACAACAGCAACAACAAAAAAGTGAGAGAAAAAATATTAAAGCAAGAGAATGCATTTAGAAAAGCAAAAGGACAAAGGTAAAAAAAAATATCTAAATGTCAAGAAATTCTTTCTAAAACTGCATTTTCAGGGCTCTTCATTAGAAATCCATTACCTTCACTGGGGAGAAATTTTATTTGCATAATGTTGGAAAGTACCAGCAAGGAACAGGAATAGCATCACTCAGGAGAGGAGAGCTGCGATCAGGGACTGACAGGTTAACTAACAGACCCAGCTCTCTGTTTCCCCATCTCTGAAGCAGGGAGAGCACTATTAGCCCCTTATTTTGTCAAAGGAAATGTAAGGGGAACACTTTCAATCAGAGAAACCCATATGCCCAGAGGGTCCTGGCAGGGAATGTAAAGGTTTAGAGACGCCTGGTGACAGCCGAGACAGACTGGGGTGGGGGGGGTGCAGGCCACCTCAAGGGGACAACATTGCTCTTCTCCTGTGCTGGGATGTGGGCCAGATGTGATCTTTCAAGATAAATCAGAAATTTGCATGATTATACAAAACGCTCAGATTTTTAACTAAAGCAAGCAATTAAAATTGTTTTTAATAGAACTGTGCTGGCCAAATAAAATATGCAAGCTATTTGCAATCAGTGGGTTGCTATTTGAGATCTCTGATTTAAGTCATGTGAAAGAAAGAGATCATGGAAGTGTGATATATACTGCTACTTAAAAAAAAAAAAAAAGCTCTCAAGTATTCTATCATCCACCTGTCTAATATGGTAGCTGCTAGGTACACGTCACTATTTAGATTAAAATGAATTAAAATGAAAGCTAGAAACCCAGTTCCTCAATCATATTAGCCACATTTCAGGTGCCCAAAGGCACACGTGGCCAGTGGCTACCATATTGAAGCATACAAATAAAGGACATTTTCACTATGACAGAAAGTTCTGTCGAACAGCCCTTAGCTAGACCAAGTGTGATTCTGGTGCATCTGCAAGGATTTGCAACTAGATATACAAGATAAAAAAAGACAGCATATTTTAATCTGAATATTTTGAGCTATCACATTTTTTAGGGTTTGACCTATTCAGGCAACATTTGTTACCGTAGTTCATGTGGGTTGTCATGAGTCCTGTTCAAACTAGACTGAATGTATAGTTAAACTGTAAAAGGAACATTTAATGCATTGCCTATATTTTATATTAGTAATTTTGGTCTACCTTTCCCATTTAAATAAAACTAATAACCACAGTTTTAGGAATTTCTTCAGAACGTCTTTTCCAAATAATCTCTGCTCATATGGTTGGCATTTCCACATCCAACACTCTCAATCACTGCCTATGAATGTCATGGTCAGAGGGTGTACATTTTGAAGATGAAAAGACTCAGCAGTGCATGCCAATCAATTGACAATGCATAATCAAGGGAGTCCAAATGATTCAAAGGAATCAGAAGGTGAAAAAGGAGGAAGGGCAGGGACAGTTACCTTTAAATAGGGAATGCTCTCAGCAATTTTGTTCTGCGCCTTCAGGATAAAGCCATAATGCACTTTAGCAAAACCGTCGTTTGGTGTCACATTCAGAACCTAAACTCAAAGGAAACAGAAAACTATTGTAACTGATTACAAATTCTACAAATGGCTGTCAAAACAAATTTTAATTAGCTTTGCTGTGCTTGGAGCGGATTATGATGTCACAGCTTAAAACACTAGTGTTTTGTCTCATTGCAATATTAGGTTTAAATGCTCCCATTTCTCGTCAACTCAAAATGCTTGCACATCTATACATCAGTTTTTCAAGAAGGAAGAAATGAATGAGAAGGCAATGACCATGAAAGCACTGATTGAACAATGCAAATCAGCAAAGTATCTGTCAACCTTTATGACCTCAACATTTTGTTAGTGATCAGGGTAAAAAACGTTTTTGTTTTTTTTTTAAAGATTTTATTTATTTATTTGAGAACGAGAGAATGAGAGACAGAGAGCATGAGAGGGAGGAGGGTCAGAGGGAGAAGCAGACTCCCCGCCAAGCAGGGAGCCCGATGCAGGACTCGATCCAGGGACTCCAGGATCATGACCTGAGCCGAAGGCAGTTGCTTAACCAACTGAGCCACCCAGGCGCCCAAAAAACGGTTTTAAATTTGTTGTATTTAAAGTCAACTCTGAATGGTTATCATATATTTGTTTATATGCCTACTTTACACATTGCCTTAAAATAAGAGCAAATTTAGATTTGCATTTGTAATATATCATGATCCATTCATTTAACAATAATTTCTTGAACGCCCAGACCATTTTAAGGACCGAGGATAAAGTGATGAGCAAATCCAATATTCTGTGATAAAACCCAAGTAAATATTTAATATAAGTCAAATCACTGTTTATTATCATATGCATTTATTATGATTAAAGATAAATAATGCAGAATGTCTTTAAATTAAATATTAGCAGTAGGAAATCAAAACAACAGCATTCAACTTGTGAAGCTGCACAGACAAACTAATGCATGGAACAAAAGTGAAAGATGAAGAAGATTTGAGTAGAGTGAATATAAAGATGGATATCCTGAATATCCTGTGGCTTCTCTTCATCCTTCAGCCTGAGTGGGACAGGGGAGTTGCACCCACCATGGGCTCCTTACACAGGACCAAGTGTTCAGGAGAGGGGACCCCCTCCCCTTGAAGAGCCCACAGTGCACACTGCTGATACTTTAGAATTTTTCAGTTTTTATGTGGTCCTGTACCTCATCCATTCACAAATCCAGTCAACGTTACCTTCCAAATATATTCAGAATCATGCGCCTACCACCATATTCACCACTGCCACCCTGGTTCCCATCTCGTCACCTCTCCCCTATGTTCTCACACAAGTCTCCTAACTGTGGACCTTTTGCACCCCCAGTCCTGCTATCCTGTAGCCCAACCTCCACAGTGGACCCTGAATGAGCTCACTAAATCCTCAGTCAGACCCCATCTCTCCCCTGTTCAGAACCCAGATGGGTTCCATTTCAATCAGAGTAAAAGACCAAGTTCTAGGGACAGTCTTCTGGGCCTCCTTTGAGCTGGGCCTCTCTACCTCTCTGGCCTCCTCTTCTAAGCCCGCCCTGAGGCGCCCTGGACTCCTTGCTGCTGCACAGCAAGTCAAAGGCGCCCCTGCCTCAGGACCTTTGCATGTGCATACTCCTTTGCCTCAAACACTCTTCTCCCAGATATCCAAATGGCTCACTCCTTCACCTTCATGAAGTCTTCGCTCAGAGGTCACCATCTTGGTGAAGCCAACCCCCAACCACTCCATATAGAACAGAACCAATCCCCTGTGCACTAATCACCCTTTTGACTTCTTTATCCTGATTCCTTTTCTTCATAGTGCTCATCACCATTTGACTTATCATCCTTTTATTTTTCCCACTAAGATGTAAGCTGTGCAGGGATTTTGTCTGTTGCACTCACTGCTGATCCCCCAGTGCTTAGTACGGTGCCCAGCACATGGCAGGTCATCAAGAAAGCTATAGTAACTGAATGGTTGAGTGCATGCTGGGCTTTCCTCCTAAAGCACAGACTCTGCTTCTTCTTCACCTTCCAAGCACCTGTTAACTGAGCTCGATGCTGAGCAAAAGCACAATAAATACTTCTGGAATTGAACTGAATTGAGGCCAGTCATGTTTCTGCCAGCGAAACTATGAGGGGCCTATTGCAATGACTGCAGATACACAGATGACAATCATCCTCTCAAGTAATTAACAAATGTATTCATTTGCCAGATATTTTAGAATACACAGAGCTCTTCTAGGGTCTGGACATAGAAACATAAATGAGATATACTCTCTTTTCTCAAGGGATGTCTCAGTCAAGGGAGGAAGACAGATTCACAAGCACACAGTGGTCATACAATATGGTAAGTGTAGCCATGGCAATAGGCACAAGGCATGCAGGGGGTAAAGAGGAGGAGCACCCAGCTCACTCTAGGGTTGGTGTGGCAAAAGCAAGGTCTGAGAGGCGTTTAGGGATAAATAGGAGTTCACCAAGCAAAGGGAAGATGCGGGACCCTGGGGGAGGAGGCATTCAAGGCACAGGAGAAAGTGAGTAAAAAAGAATAATGGACCAGGAACAGCAAAAGGGAATGAGACCAGAAAAAGGGGCCAGGAGGCAAATCACAAAAGGTCCTGTGCTTATCACAGTTTACACATAGATGCACAATGAATGTGTGGCTTGTATTATCTAGTGGTAATCAACAAAGCCTCCTGACATGACAAGTGGCTTTATAAAATTTCTAAGAAAATCAAATTGAGATTAACATTAATAATATTATATAGATTCTGTCTCTTTATACACACACACAGCAGAGACAATGACAAAAAAGTGGTATAGCTGACATTTCTGCTTTCGGGACAAATTCTTTGCATGACACAGCACCAGCAAAAAACCAAAAATCATATAATCACAAATAGTATTGCATATAAATATTATCAAAATATCAATTTTTTTTTTACCGCATGATCCAGTAATTTCACTACTGGGTACTACCGGGGTATTTAACCCAAAGAAAATGAAAACATTAATTCAAACAGATATATGCCCCCCTATGTTTACTGCAGCCTTACTTACAGTAGCCAAACTATGGAAGCAGCCCAAGTGTCCACTGACAGAGGCATGCATAAAGAAGATATGGCATATATACACAATGGAACACTACTCAGCCATAAAAAAGAATAAGAATGAGATCTTGTCATTTGTGACAACATGGATGGACCTAGATGGTATTATGCTAAGTGACGTTAGACAGAGAAAGACAAATACCGATTTCACTTAACATGTTGAATCTGAAAAACAAAACAAACAAACAAAATAAAGCAGAAACAGCCCCATACATACACAAAACAGACTGGTGGCTGCCACAGGGGACAGGGCTGCAGGGATGGGCAAGATGGGCAAAGGCGAGTGGGAGGTAAGGCTCCCATTATGGGATGAATAAGTCACCTGGATGAAAGGGACAGCACAGGGAATATAGTCAGTGGCATTGTAACATTGTTGTATGGTGACAGGTGGTAGCTACACTTGGGGTGAGCACAGCGTCCTGTATCAAGTTGTTGAATCACTATGTTGTACATCTGAAACTACTGTAACATTGTGTGTCGACTATACTTCAATAAAAAAATTTATAAAGCTATATGCACATATATGTTCACCACAGCATTGTTTATTACAACAAAATAATCAGAAATATCTTGTCCAACAATAGTGGCTTACTTAGTGATGATAGAGCCCTAAGATCAATGCTTGGAAGCTGCTAAAACTTACGTTCTAGAAGAATTTTTATTTACTTATAAAAATTCTTGCGATGATATGATTCATATATACTAATTTAATTGAAAAAGACAAGTGTTGGGCGCCTGGGTGGCTCAGTTGGTTGAGCAACTGCCTTCAGCTCAGGTCACGATCCTGGAGTCCTGGGATCGAGTCCCGCATCGGGCTCCCTGCTCAGCGGGGAGTCTGCTTCTCCCTTTGATCCTCCCCCTCTCGTGCTCTCTATCTGATTCTCTCTCTCAAATAAAATCTTTAAAAAAAAAAAAAAAGACAAGTGTTCTGTGTATGGAAGAGACTAGAAGGACACATACCACATGTTTATCATGGTAGTCTGTACGTGAGAATGAGGCTGCAGATGATGTCTGCCTTTTGTGCTAATCTGTTTCCCTGGTTGTCTGCATTAAGCTTCTCTTAAATTTTGTAGTCAGAAAAGAGAATTTTAGAAAGTTTAAATCAATAAATAAAAGAGAAAGTTTTTAGTGACTAGTTTTTTTTTTTGTTTTTTGCCATTAAATGAAATTTAAAAGTATTTAAAATACTTCCTTTCATCTTAAAACTTATTTTGGGGGCATGTACCTGTTACAATGTACAGCACACATTATTATATAATGTATATCCTATATTATTACATAAACATAATACATAAATACTTAAACATACATATCGCAGATATTTGCTGGAGTATGTTTTACCGGAAGGGTAGGTAGCCGAACGTGTTTGAAGACCACTGCTGTGGGTGGGGGAAGCCAGTGAGGAGTCCAAGCCGAGTGTGGGATGGTCAGATTTGTGTTTTATGTTGATGAAGGCTGGAGGACAGCAAGCCTGCACAGGATAAATCTACCCTAGTTTAGGCAAGAGATGATGAGTGCTGGGGTTAAAAAGGGAGGGGATCTGGAAGATATTCAGAAGGGAAAATTAACAGAAATTTGTGATTTGGTATCAGGCTGAAACTCCATGAGGGCACAGCATATGTTTATTTCCTTAACTACCATTTCCCAAGCTAGGGTGTGTGGGCTTCAATAAACATGTGTGGACTAAGAGAATGGATATACGTGAGGAGTGAGTGGACGGAAAAGTCAGGAAATTGCTTGACTCTAGACCATGGGTGGCTTTCCTGCTGCTAACGCAAAGGGGGACGCAGGACCACCTCCAAAACTACCGGTGTCGGCAATCTGCATCAAACCACTGTAAAGCAATCTCTCTGAAACTTAGAGCAGCAAAACAAACAGACAAACAAAAAACCCAGGAAGAGAACCAACGATGATTTTTATTTATTTAGAAAGATTTATTTCTTTTAGAGAGAGAGAGTGAGACAGAGAGTGAGCGAGCCCGAGGAGGGACAGAGGGAGAGGGAGAGAGAGAATCTCCAGCAGACTCCCCACTGAGTGAGATGCCCGACACGGGGCTCAATCTCAGGACCTGAGATCATGGCCTGAGCTGAAATCGAGAGTCAGACATTAACCAACTGAGCCCCCCAGGCACCCCCAGTGATTTTTATAATTTTCAAAGGTAAAAATCAACATGAAGAAAAGTATAAAATTACAGTCAATTGTTTTCTGAAAATGATCTTTGAGACATTAACATATCAGGATAAACTTCAGTTAATGACAAAGAATGCCTTAGATACAGCTTATTAGAAGTGGGAAGAGGGAATAAAAGGCAAATCCCACACATATTTTCAAATAATGCTCTTTAAAAAGAAACCCACTCGATTGTATAATATGGCCCTATTTTAGACTTTCCACACCTTGTTATGCTTACTCAGATGAGATTATGATTTCAAACATATAAATGACAACAGATAAATTTTATTTTTCAAATGAATTAAAATGTTTCACATATCTGAGATCTATTATCAGGTAAAAACAGTGAATATATTCAAGGAACATTCTGAAAAGTTGAGGAAGGACAAATCCACAGTGGGTGGGAGAACCTAGTATGCTTTCAGATCCTGCCCTGATCTCAAATGTGCTTGGTATCCAGTTAACACTTGATCACGTTTTTGGAGGGAGGGAAGGAAGGAAGGAAAGGAGAAGAGAGGGAGGGGAGGCTACAATTTCATCTTTGAGGCTTTTGGAAGTGGCAGAATAATGGGTATATCTGATACAGTTGGCCAATTCTTACATTCATATGATCCTGAATCGTGAGATACATGATATTTCCCTTAAACCAACTTTGCAACACAGGGCACTAAGTGTTAGGTTTTGGCCATTAGCAACTGCATCGCCCCACCTGGACTTCTTTTATGACCTGGAACAGGTACTTTAGTGAATGACACACATTTTCAACACTGCAGGATCAATCTACTTAATGTAGATATTAGACATGCTATAAAAAGCAAAAGTCTTCTTTCTCTTCTCTCAGAAAAGAGAAAAATTACAAGGATGAAGAGAAACTTGTTCTGAAATTCGATGATTTTCAATTAAGACTCCACAACAATAAAAGCAGGAAAGCACCCCTCTGTGAGTGGCCCCAGCCCCTAGATGGAGTATGAATTCACTGCACTTGACAGCACTTTTAAACCAGAGGAATCATATTGGCTATCACTGAGTAGTAGCATTTTGATGTAAAATACGCCAGCTTGAAAACCACTGACCAAAACAGCTAAATTAAAGCGTAACAGGTAAATGTGTTCACCTTTCTTTTATGGAGGCATTAATTTTCTCCAGCTTCGAAGTTCATCGGGTATCCTGTTTATTCTATTCCAAATGAATTTCCTCATTACTGGAAGGAGACACAGTTTCCTAGATTTATAGTTACTTGTAACTTGGAGGTTATCTATTAAAAATAACCATTATAAGGTAGAAATCCTTTCAAAGGCATCCCTGCTAGAGGATCAAAGAGTTACTGCCCTCCAAAAGGTGAGTAATTTACTCCACATGCTTGAAGGGTCCCTGCTCTATAGTCTCTCTCTAGACCAGACTTTTGGTGAAAATAAGGGAAAAGGTTATGTGTTTTTACATTTATGGAAAAACAGAGTTCTATTTCCTATCATGAAGCACACACTCTTAGAAAAGGTGTTTATGGACTGATAAATACAAAGTTTTAAAACTATCACAATTATAGGGGCGCCTGGGTGGTTCAGTATATTAATTGTGGATTCTTCATTTCGGCGCAGGACATGATCTCAGGGTCCTGAGATTGAGCCCCGCATCAGGCTCTGTGTTCAGCGGGGAGTCTGCTGTCCTTCTCCGTCCCCCTCTGCCCCTCCCTGCGCATGCACCTGTGCACACAGGAGCTCTCTCTCTCTCTTAAAATGAATAAAAATAAAATCTTTAAAATTTATTAAAAAAAAACTATCACAGGGGTGTCTGGGTGGCTCAGTCGTTAAGTAGCTGCCTTCAGCTCAGGTCATGATCCCAGGGTCCTGGGATTGAGCCCCACGTCAGGCTCCCTGCTCAGCAGGGAGTCTGCATCTCCCTCTCCCTCTGCCTCTCCCCCTGCTTGTGTTCCCTCTCTCGCTGTCTCTCTCTGTGTCAAATAAATAAATAAAATCTTAAATAAATAAATAAAAGTAAAATAAAAAAACTATCACAATAGTAAGTTGAAGGTTTTGATGTACCAAGTGCTAACTAAAATTTAAAATTTTCTGATTAAGGCAAAACAGGAGATGAAGACAAAATTTAGAATATGTCAACTATATGAATACTAACTTTCTCTTTAACTTAATTTAAAGTAAACAAAGAGAGAGGTTGGGCATTATAAATGCAATTTACCAGTGACATTAAAACTTCATGCTCAAAACAACTGGATGTGGTCAATAGGAGACTGCTATCTGCTTACCTCTTCATAGACCTTCTGAGCATTGTTGTTATCCCCTATCAAGAGGTACCCCACTCCAAGGTCGTTCTTTAAAGACATATCATCAGGAAACAGTTGAACTAATTTCTGTAGGGTAATCAGGGAGCCTCTCATGTGACCTGATTTGGTGGGAAGAGAAAACAACAACAACAACAACAACAACTCAACAAAAATAAAAACAGATCATGTACATCTTTGTATTGAGTCTAAAAGCACAAGAGACAAGAGAGACTATTCAATAGAGCCCAAAGAGCAGCTGAAATCTGACTCTATACACTGATGGCTTCTTAGGATTTCATCAGGCAGCTACAAAGATTACCAATAACTCCTATAAGTAGATCCTGAATATAATACTGATTATAAACATTTTAAAGACAAATTATTTTCTGAGTTCACCGACATTTATCTTATGTCAAATTCCCTCTGAAAGTTTTATCAATTCCTTGTAAAAAAATTGTTTCACTGGGTTATCTTTGGCTTATTACGATTAACTTCAAGATTATGAACAGAGAACAAATAAAAAGTCTAACAGATTTTGGGTGCAGCCCCCTGTGTGAAACTTGAAAAGGCACTGGGGTATACTGCTAACCCTGGTTCTAATTAAGTGTCCTTACCTCCAGGTAATGAATGATCTAGTCGAGGAGCACGAAGACATCATCTGGTATTATGGGACCCTCTGGTGGATGATAAGATGCTATGCACAACAGGAATCATGAAAACCCCAGCCTTGGTCAATTTTTAAGGCTATGTGATGGAAATTTAAAATTTCTGGGGCCAGCTGTCATTCCTTCTCACCACAGTTGGTAATAAATGGAATAGGGGAAAATGTACAAAATAAGACCAGTATACATGATAAAATTCATTCCCTAAAGGGCTCAGTTGCCCACAAACTAAGTATTAGCCAAGAGTATGAGAGGACTACCAATAAGCTAATGCAGGCGTGTCCTGATCACAGATAAAACTATTTGGCATAAAACGTCACCAGCTCATCCCATGGCCTTCTCCCCATTACTAGCCGATCTTGGATTGGTTCGCTTGGTGATTCATTCCCTCACTCACAAATCTGACTCTACTTTTCTTACATTCCCTTCCCCACTATCTGTCCAACTTAGGTTCATACTTTTCCTCTGCTCCTACACTTCCCCTGTTAACCACTGCAAAGGCCCGGGTAAACATCTCGCCTGCTGCCCTCTCCGAACCTTTTACTCTGCATCATGCAACCCTGTTATACTGGGAGTAAACTTCACTACCTTGTCACCTTCAATAAAATCTTCTCCCTACAATCCCCTCCTCATAGAGCCTCCTCTCATGAACTTGCCTCATTCTCATTTGGAGGAAAAGACTATATTCAAGTATTGAAGGATGGTTGCGGAAGGGGGTTAGATGTATTTGTAGGCAGTCTTTCCCCCAGGTCCAGGAATAAGGTGAAGCAAGTGAGGTGCTCAATGCAAAGTTTAAGAGGCTGCCCAAAATTCAGTCACCCAGAGGCGTGATACTTTTATGCATTCTTCCTAAAAGTCAAAATTAATGTAAAAAAATCCACAATGAACAAAGTATCAAAATTTGAAGGACAGAATAAGTAAACAATGCTTAACCAAGCCATACTGGAGCCTGAGTCAAGAGGAAAGCTCAGTGATACTAATTTTGTGCCCAAGGCGAGTGCTTCCCCTGAGCACCAGCCCTGTCTTTTCCATCTTGTGTGGGTGCTGTCTGTTTTCCTTCTTCTGGACTGGCCCTTTTGCATAGAAGTCTAACGGACCCTTTCTTCCAGTTTCTAATCATCCCTTGGGTTCTGCTCCTACCAGACTTTGGTCATTTACTAAAGTGACACAACTACCCTTAACCCTATCCCTCAGAAAACTGGTAACAGGGTTAGCTGGCCTTCAGTATCACTTATATGAGCCTCTCCGAGTGGCATCAGTAACTGTCTCGATAACGTACCCAGCCGCTCGCACCCACCTGAGCAGTTACACGTGGCCTAGATTCTTCCGTCTGGTTTCCTGATGACAGGTTAGGTGGAAGGGAATCAGAAGCCTGGTCATAATGAAGTTAGGTTAGGGCTAGTCTTACTTGCCTTTCATGGGCACCTGGGTCAGTCAGAGAGGATGCTTTATGCTGCTCAAATTTACTTAGTGATTTTAATAAGTTTTTTTTTCCTATCATGTTCCTTGGTCTAGAGTCAAACTTTACAGGCAAAATTTTTAATGCCTGGAACTCCTAATATTCCATCTTTTATAAAAACTGTTGTGATAATTTCAACCTCCAGGAATCAGTTCTTCATAGTTAAGAGAGCAAAGAGTTTGGTGTAACAGGAAGAGCTTTTTATTTCAGACCCACTCATTTATTAGCTGTGATTCCTTTTTTTTTTTTTAAAGATTTTATTTATTTATTTGAGAAAGAGAGAATGAGAGACAGAGAGCATGAGAGGGAGGAGGGTCAGAGGGAGAAGCAGACTCCCTGCTGAGCAGGGAGACCGATGCGGGACTCGATCCTGGGACTCCAGGATCATGACCTGAGCCGAAGGCAGTCGCTTAACCAACTGAGCCACCCAGGCGCCCTTTAGCTGTGATTCCTTAGGCAAATTATCCAACCTCCCAGCATCCCATCTGCCTCAACTTTAAAATTGGGAGTGGGGGGGCGGTTAGTGAGGAAAAGGTGGTAAAATACCGTCTGCATCTTTGTAAGTATTAAGGTTAGGACCGCCATTTCTGTCTAGAACCCATTTGGCTAAATTACCTGAAATAAGTTATGAAACTCAAGTTCCCTCCTAGGTAACTAAGCTCACCTAAGAGTACACAGCATGGCATTCGGTGCTGAACTAAGTTTTATTCTGTCTTACCCAAAAATTGCTGTCTGTCTGAGCGTCGCTTCAAGGTCAGCTTCAGCAAGTCTGTGGGGACATCGGGCAGGCTGGCCACCTCCTGGTAGGTTTCGATGGCCCCACGCAGCACCTCGTTGCTCCTTCTTTTCTCAGCCAGATCGTCTTCACACTAGAAGAAGTCCCCACAATGGATAAATGTCCCATGACATGCTGTATTTGTAATCACCCAAAATATGCATGTAAAGTTAATTTCTGGACACGCGTGAAGAGCAATTTGAGACAGATTAAAATTTTCTCTTTATCGAGAGATTAAAAAGCAAACAGAGAAAAGCAACTCAACGTGCTATCTCAATAACATGAAGATAAGTTAGTTACCAAGCTACAGATGAGAAAAAAATATAAAAGCAAGAATAATTAATCTATGCTGGGTTGATGGAGATCTGTATCATGCCACACATTCATATTACATAGACAGGGCTCCAATCCAGACTTCCTGGTCTCTCAGTAGTTTGAGGGTTCTCATTCATTCAACAACTCTCATCCTAGAGCCATGCGGCAGGCAAAGTAAACAAAACAGATAAAGCCCTTTTCCCCTTCTGCTTCATTATGAAGAAAAAGACAATAAACAAATTCAAGTACTATGTGTCTGGTGGCCACAGCGCTGGGGACAAAATCAAAGCAGGCTTAGGAGTGCTGGCAGAGGGGTGGTAGGAAGAGTTAGTTTAGGCAGGACGACCAGGGATGGCCTGAAAGAAGGGAGGGAGTGAGGCATGAGGCTATCTGGGGGAAGAACATTCCAATGCAGAGAACACAGCAAGAGTGAGGTCCTGGGCAGGGAAGTAAGGGGGAGAGGAAAGGTTGGTGCAGGAGGGGGGCAAGGAGGGGACTGGTGGAGGAGTGGTGGTCAGGTAATGAAGAACGTGGTAAGCCATTGCCAAGTCCATTAGACTACCTCCATGTGAGATGGAAAGACACCAGGGGTTTTTGACATGATCTGACGTACATGGAAAGGATCATGCTGGTAGTGGGATGGAGAACAGACTGAAGGGGTGGTGGAGAAGCACAGAGGCCAGTTAGGATGCTTTAGCAGGAACCCAGACCTAGTGATGAGGATGGTTTGGATTATGGTGGTAGGAATGAGGTGGTAGGAGGTAGGTAGATTATAGATACATTTTGAAGGTCAGAGTCAACAGATTTGCAGGTGGGCTGAAATGCGACAGAAAGGGAGGGAGAGAAGTCAAGGATAAATTCAAGGGTTTTGGCTTGAGTGATTCCCAGATGGAACTGCCATCCCCTGAGAATGGGAGGACAGGGTTTGTCAGCATTCAGAATCAGGAGTTCCATTTTGGATGTATTAAACCCAACACCTATTAGGTACCCAAGGGGAGATGCTGGATAGAAAAATACATATATACGTCTGGGGTTCAGGAAAGAAGTCAGAAAGACAGGGGAGGGCCCGCAAAAAGGACCGAGAAAGAAAGGTTAAGAAGAAAATAACAAAAAAAGTGTTCTGGAGGTTAGGGACAAAAGGTATCAAGAGGGAGTAATCAGTCATGTTAGAAGGGCCATCAGGTTGAGCATCTTGGTCATGATGCTGGACTGGGCAATATGGCACCTCTCATGGCCCCGGCAAGAGCATTTCTACAGGACAACTGGGGACCATAATAGAATGGAGCAGGATCAGAGGAAACCAGGAGGGAGGGAGGTACAGATAACCCTCAAAGGGAAGCAGAGAAATGGGCCAGTAGGTGGAGGGGAGTGTGGAGACCAGGGAGAGGTTTTTTGTTTTTGTTAACAATGGGAATTATTACAGCATGCTTCTAAGCTAACGCAAAAGAGTCAGTAGAGAGGGAAAATGTGATGATACAGAAGTAGACACAAAAATCAGCATGCTCTCCTTCAGCAGGTGAGAGAGGATAGGAGAGGGGGCCAGAACAGTCCGTCCATGCTAACAGGCGGGAAGGCAGAGCATAGGGAGCAGGTGGAGGTAGGCTGGGAGTGCTGTAGTGGGATCATGTGGAAGTTCTCTTTGGATACTTTTATTTTCTTAGTGAAATAAGCAAGATTCTTCACTGGAGACTGAGAATGAGAATGGGGAGTGAAATACTAGAGTGATAAAGAGGCGAATGTGTAAAATGGTAGGCAAAATCTCATCCGATTTTGTAAACTACAATTTGAAGATTACCACTTGAGGAAAAATGATACCAATTAGAGGCTAAAAAAAGTCACATATAAAATGTTTTTCTCAGAATATCCTATTTAACATGTTTACCTTTTTAAAATAAAGTGTGTGCTGCAGTCAATATATAGAACCAAAGTAAAGCACAACTCCACAATTTGAGGGCATGGTAAAAAAACGATGCATTCCTTCCCAATCCCAAATCAAAAACTATTAAGAATCTGCACAAATTGATAATATCTCTGGAGAGCTTTTCAGAAAATAACACTTCAAAGAAATAACTTCTTATGTGTACTGATTAGGTAAGTTTCCCAAGAGATGATGAGGGCTAGGACGGAAACAGTGGTGAAAGAGAGAAGTGGACAGGCTTATGATAAAGGAAAAGTAATAGGACAAAAATGTCTAGATTAAAAAATGTCAGTTCACCCTTGCTTGATAGAAAAAAGCTTCAGAATATACCACTATCTGTTCATATCTGTAAATGGTCTGTCTACATTATAGACTTATCTGCCAGGAGAGAAAGTCCAATGTCAATGACCCACACTGGTCATCCTGCCCCTCTGGCCGTCGGTATATTCATATGCCAGCTTTTCTGTTTAGGCATCAGTTTCTTGTGAGTTTGGCTATGGTGAGTTAACTCCCTAAAACATGATCATTCATAGATGACTTCTGAGAATGATGGAGTCCTGGAGCTGGAGGGTCTCCTCAAGGTTAGTGCAAGGACAAATGAATACCAAGGTAATCCTTCTTTACAGAAATTGGAATAAATATCAGACTAAACTCAATCTGAAAAGACAGGAAGATGATACAATTTATATACCTTGTTCCCTCCCCTGCACCCATCTCAAATTTTTTCATTTTAGTGAAGTAAAAACATTTTACAACTTCCAGAATTGGGAAAATCTCAGTATTAAAATGACATCTCCATCTTAAATTTTTCTGAATGAAAGTAATAGACTTGGCTTTGAATATCAAAGTCGTACAGATTTATTGTTATCAGTTTAGCATCCGTACATAAAGTGATTTGGGCAGAAACTGAACATTTGTTCCAGGATGTTAACACCACAAAGCCTTTTGTTGACTTGAACTAATTTAACCATCCAAACTTCCTAGGAGATGTGTCATTTTCTGCCTCAGAGGCATTAATGGTTTGTGTAAGACAATAAAGTGAACTGAGTTTATAATTTAAGATGTTGTATCTGATGTTCAGAGAACTTGGTCAAAATTGATTTTCACGGTGATCCCAGGAATCAGACAATGTCAGCGCTGCTTCAGAAACTGTAGTTCGTATTTAACTTAATGTTGCTGAATTTTATAAATTTGCTGGGGTATTAAAAAAAAATTCGTTGGGATATTCCAGCGTAATTGTGTAATTTGCAAACAAAGGATGAAAAAGTCATCATTTATTCCTCCCTATAAAATCCAGCTTCTTTTGATCTCTGATTTTTAAAACTTCTATGCATTTAAAATTTCTTTTAAATTACTCTATTAAAATTTAACTTACCTTGCCTAAATTTTGCTTTATGCCACATTAATATCAACAACACCTTGTAGCATAAAAGTTCAGAGATAAAAAATATTGCCTGAGGCCTATCATATCTCAAATTCCTACAGTGAAATAAAGATATAAATCCAGCAATCACCATGTGTGAAAGTACATTTATTTGGATTTTGGCACCCACAATTACTATCACATACAAAGAAAAATTCTAAAGCACAAAGAATTTTTGCCATAATTAACATTTGCATCAATCTTTATTCTTCCTAGTTAATATGTTTTCTTAATCAAATGACTGCCAATACTAGTAAGGAAACTTATCACTTATTTGAACAGGCATGATCTTTTGATAAGAAACACATACTCTCTTGCTTTAGAGCAACACAATTTAGCAATTTTGGAGGATTATTGACCAAACTCATTTACAAAAATGATATAATTGCTCTCTGCTACCCCTGGTATCCTGGTCTGTTCCATGGATAGGAGGAATTTATTTGCGTTAATTTTTCACAACCTTAATTTATTAAAATTTAATTAGTAAAGTTTAATTAAGTTTTCAATAGGGAGATAAGAAGAATCTGAGCATCTGGAACAAGTGGTTGCCACCTTTAGTTCAGAGCAAAGCATGTTTGTTTTATCCACAGATATGACAGTTCCTGTGTGAGTGCAGCATAGAAGTCACAGAACTGCCCCCAGGCAAACGGGAGTTGTCAGGTTCTCCTGGGTCTGGAAATTTTTTGTAGCTCTGCACCTATCATCTCCCAGTAGGGTTGAGAATCTCATCCCACCAGGCCAGACTGTGGGAGCTTCATTGCCAATCACATTGCGTATCAGGCCTGGCTTTTATCCTGAATTCCAGACTTCATAAATTCAATGTCTCCTTGACATGTCCACTTGAATATCCAAGAGGCATCACAAATTTTACAGGACGAAAAGCGAATTCTTGACTTCACACCTCCCCAAACCTGTTCCTCTACCAGTTTTTCTCTGTCAGGAACCATCTCTTTCTCTCAGTCCTCATTTGGCCAAACCCAAAACCCAGGACTCCAGTCCTTTCTTCCCCTGACCCTTACACCTAAGCCAACATGAAGCCCTCCCCGCCATTTCCCCATCTCCTCGGCTATGGCCACAGTCCATGCTACCGCGCCTTGAGCATACTTGTAATACTCCCCTATGCTTCTTGCTTCTACTTCTGCCTCCTTAATCTGTTCCCCACCCAGGAACCAAAACAATCTTTATGAAAAAACAAGATGGCCAAGTCCATGCATAAACCCTCCAACGCTTCCCAGGGCATGGAGAATATCATCTGTGAGGCCCTGGCCTCACTTGTCCCACTTTGCCCTTCCTCAGCACGCCCTCTTTCTGTTCTTGAGCTTCTTACGCCAACATGACTTCCCCGTATCATGGCCTTTGCCCTCGCTGTTCCCTCTGCCTGCACAGCTCCTTCAGCTCCCTTGTCACATTTCAGCCACGCATCACACCTCAGTAGAGAGGCCTTTTCTGGTCAACGTATCTAAAGTGCTCTCTGCCCTGTCACCCTCAACTCACATCACTCGCAGCCAGAAAAATCTTAATGGGTATGCTCTTCTTTTCTTTATGATATATATTACATAAGGTGATCTAATATATTTATGTTTAACACTTTATAATATCCTTAAATATATATTGCTATATATATTTATTCAGGGCCTTGCTCAAATGTCACCTCCTCGGTAGACCTCTCCCTGACACCCTATCGAGCACATCAACTCCCTCACACATCCTATGGCGGTACTCTGCTTTTTTAGGTTCTCCTCAGCACTTCTCACTAACGAGCATATATATTTCACTTGTTTTCTCTCCTGCACTGCCTTCATCACTACAATGACAACTCCGTATGTTTTGCTGATGGCTACATCTGCAGCGTCTAGAACAGGGCCTGGCACGGAGTGGGCTTTCTCTAAGTAATTTTTGATGAAGTAACTTTTCAAAATACCCCCCACTGGAACATAAGATCCATGAGGACAGAGACCTCCAGAGGGTTCATTATGATAATCCCAGGGCACATGGCACACGGTGGCTTTATGCAACCACAGATGAATGTGGAAAAGCTTCACAAAATGAGGAGCTGGAAGATGGGGAAAGTCAGGGAAGAAAGGAGATGAGGGAGTGGAGATAGTGAGAAGGTAGCTGGTAATATAATTCCATTTTATATTTTCAAGTCTTTCCTAAGCATACTTGCAGTCTCTAGCTGCCAAACCGAGGTTCTTACAGCTTGGAGGAGCCTACAGTGAAAGCTTGGCCGTATGGGGCATGACAGTGATGGGAGATCAAGGACAAAAGTGTTCTTCTTTCTTTTCTTTTCAAACCCAGAGAGAAGCCAGATGGAGCGAGAGCAGGAAAACATTACTAAATTCACCAGTACGCAATAACAATAGTTAATTGTCTTATTTAAAACGGTATTTCTTGCTTGAGTTTACACATATGCATGAGAAATGGACTCTGTATATAAGTTAGAAGGGCAAAGAGAAATGCAAATAGTGGGCAGTGAAAAATCCAATCACACAGAACACAAGGACATCGAAAACATTTTCTACATAGGAGGGGTTTCGAATACCTGTGCCTTTCCGTATCTCGCCCGTGGACTCTGCGGGTATTTGCGAACTAGTTCTTGGAATGCACTCAATGCTTCCTCAATTTTTCCCTGTTAGGAAGAGGCAGTGACATAAATGCAGTAAGTTCAGATGCATACTGTTATTCAATATGGTTTTTTAATAGTCACCAAGTAATTGTCAAAATTTCCTGGATTCCATTCTGAGTCTAAAGATAGTGTTATCTAAGATTTTAAAAAATTAAGTTCGGAAAACATAAAAGTAAAAATGAAGATTTTTTTTTTTTTAATAACAGAAACCTGACAAATGATGTACTCTCTTTGTTAAAGAAACTACATTTTCCCTCTATACACACAGTTCCTACATGCATTATATTTTAATTTTCTTTCATTGAAGTACAGTTGACACACAATGTCACATTAGTTTCAGATATGCAACATAGTGATTAGACAAGTCTATACATGATGCTATCCTCATCACAAGTGTAGCTACCGTCAGTCACCATACGACACTATTACAATATTATTGACTATATTCTTAAAGAAAATACTTAGATTTTTAAGTTGGGGAAAAATACTGCTGGCAGCCGGAATGTCTTGGGGTCTGCAATGAGAAGTCTAAAGCACCTGTTGGGGTGGGGAATAAACTCGCAGGAGTCACAAGGCCACTGGCTCGTGGTACCTGTCACCCACTGAACACCTGGATTGATTTGGCTTGTCTGGTTGATGGGGGAAACTCATGACTCTGTGTCATGTGACCCCTCCCAAAGCTCATGTGGACCCTGAGGAAGATAGTCCGAGCACCTCCGCTAGGTCCCTGACCACCACGACATGAAAAGAAACAGAGGATGTGGAACAGGTCAATTTGGTGAGGGTTTTGGCAGGGGGTGAGGAACCCGCTCCCCATGACACTGCATCCGTGGCCATTCCACAGGGTGAAACAAATGTCCCCTGGTTTCCAACGGATGGCCGCGGGTCAAGGATATGGGGAACCATGGGAGAGAGACAGATTTTCTGAGGTGAACTTTCACAGACACTTCAGCTCCCAATTTGGTAAATCCATTCATTCCTCATATAAATGGAAGCTCGCTGTGGTTTTATGCTTTTTGACGTTCACTGAGTGAGTTTTCACATGACAAAGTTTACCTCACCAATGTGGCTCTGCCAAGCCAACTGTACAGGACTCCCCCCACCCACTTTTAAGGACTAACTGGGTAGTCCTGGGTAGTCCTGTACAGTTGGCTTGGCAGAGCCACATGGACTGGGTTGACCTACCCAGTCAAAGGTCAGGCAACATCCCTATTAAAGTTACGTAAAATCATCTCATTCGGAAGATATCATTGAAGAAGGAGGTTTTCTTTTCCTCTCACTTGCCTGAAAGTGGTGCTGAGGGCTTGGTGGAAAACATATGCATAGTAGAGTGTCTACAAGTCCGGCTCCAGAGCCAGACCAACACTTGAGAGGTGTAGGACTTATGGCCAGTTACTGATGACTCTGCCTCGGGGGCCTCATCTGTAAAATGGGTATGAGGATACTTAACTACCTTGCGGGGCTGCTGTTACAGTTACATCTGGTACACAGATAAAGTGCGGGCAGACACCGCACAGAGCATGTGGTGTGTGGGGAATGTGTGTGCAACACAAGATAATGGGGCCCATCCCATGAGAGCCTTTTACCTAATCGACAGGCAGGTTAATGCAGACAACGAGGACTTGGCTGTAGAGATAAATCAAGCCAGGAACACATACTCTACATTACATGTAGTGTCAGAAATGATTGTATCGCTATTTAAAATACAGTTTCCTCTCACGATATTAATTTCTGTAAAGACTTTATTTTTTAAGAGCAAGCAATTTTAGGTTCGTGGCGAAATCAAGAGAAAGTATAGATTTTTCATCTACCCACCGTGTCCCCAACACACACAACCTCCGCCATGATTAGCATTCTGCACCACAGTGGTACATTTGTTACAACTAACAAATTTACACTGACACATCAAAGTTACCCAAAGTCCATAGTTTACCTTCGGGTTCACTCTTGCTGCTGTATATTCTATGGGTTTGGACAAATGTATACTGACTGTATCCACCATTATAGCATCATGCAGACTGGTTTCACTTCCCTAAAAACCCTCTTTTTTTATCTAGTCATCCCTCCCCCCACCCACTTTTAAGGGATGAAGAATTCAATGTTAAATATCTTCTTCTGTGTCACTTTCTTCTAACTTCCCTTTTTCTTCTTATTAGAAGAAAACGAAGAGAATCACTGATTCCATGCCTAAAAATCATCTCTTTCGACAGAGCTTACATTTCAAAATGCGGGCAGGTGAATCCTTAGGTTTCAAAGTCTGTGGCTTGAGGCTCTGTCCTCTGGGTTCTTGGCTCTGGCTACCACGTCCTTGTCTCTGGCCTCTGGGTCCAAGACTCTGCCCTTGGAGTTATCTTTCCTTTCTACCGAAAGCATGATTCGTTTTATCTGCCTGTTTCCTGCCTGTAGGATTTTGGTAATCTGGTATCTTCTTCCAGTTTGTCCTGTGTCTCTTTCCAGTGGCAATGCTTCTCCTGGTATAATATTCTCAAAAGCCTTATGGGTTTCTTGTGCCTGTCACAGGGATTCACACCATTTGACAAGAGTCACACCCACAGACCCTTCCAGGATAGTCCCATCTCTGTTCCTGATTTCTGCTGGATGGTTGGGTAGATCCAAGAGTCACACATCTACTCTCTTCAGGAAAAGGATGTCCAGCACGCCCTTGGCCTTCTCTCTGGAGTACACTTTCCCAACAATGAACTTCCGAATTGTAGCACCTTCTGCAATCTGGATAGACCAAGAAATCTCCCCAAATTATCATGTTCTGGCTCTTTTTTTTCTTTAACAAATCCTTCCTTAATTATCACTTTCTTCTCATATTTTACTAGAAGCAGCAAAAAAGAAACCAGGCCTCATCCTCGACACATGGCTTGGAAATCTCCTCAGCTAGACATCCAAGTTCATTGCTTGCTTACAAGTGTTGCTTTGCGGCAGGCCCATAAGATACAATTCAGTTAAGTTTCCTGCCACTCTGTAACGGGGACTGCCTTTCCTCCAGTTACAATGACCTGTTCCTCATTTCCTTCTGGCTCTTGCCAGAAGTGCCTATCGACATTCTGCTTGCAATGATAGGTATATTCTCAAAGATTATCGATAAAGCTTGCTCTACAGTGCTCCTCACCTCCTCTGAGCCCTCTCCAAGGGCAGCTTTCACATTCACATTTCTACCAACAGTCTGCTTAAGACAATCCAGGCTTTCGCTCTCATGCGTCTCGAAATTCTTTCAGCCCCTCCTCCTTACCCAAGCCCAAAGCCACTTCCATATTTTTAAGTATTGGCTATAGTAGGACTCCACTGCCCAGCACCAAAATCTGGATTAGTGTTCTATGGCTGTTGTCACAAATTACCAGAAATTTGATGGCTGCAACGACAGAAATTTATTCCAGAGAATAGAAGTCTCAGATTAGTTTCCTGGGCTGAAATTGAGATGTTCGCAGAGCCATGCTTCCTCCAGAGGCTCTGGGGGAGAGTCTGTTCCTTGCCTCCTTGATGGCATTTCTTGATCGTGGATGTACTGCTCCAATCTCTACTTCTGTCTTCACATTGCCTTCTCCCTTCTGTGTGCCTTCTCCTATTTTGTCTCCAATTTCCCTCTGCCTCTCTCTTATAAAGAAACATGTGATTGCATTTAGGGCCCAACTGGATAAACCAGAATAATCTCCCCATTTCAAGATCTGTAACTTATCATATCTGCAGAGACCCTTTCTCTAAATACAGTAATGCTTACAGGTTCCAGGGATTAGGACATGGATATTTTTGGGGAGGGACCATTTTTAGCTTACCACATGCCTTCTGCAACTTAAATTGCAAATGTTGAGGCTATTTTTGTGAAAATCATGCTAAATGTACCATTACGATTTAAAACGTAGGAATAACAATATTTGTCACAAATCTGCTTAAGCATTTTGTTCCTTCTGGATACTCCCTTAGTTGGCCATCAAGATTAGAAAAATAACGGAATATTTTGGCTTGACCAAGGCATCCTTCCGATCCCCTTATGACAGAGGCTGTGTTGCCTTACTAAGGGACTGTCAGCCCGGCTCTCACCTCAGCAGGCTGGCAAAGTAAATGTGTTTGCTTTTAGTCTGGAAGAATTTCCCCTCCCTAGAATCTTACTGGAGAATACAGCTCTGAACGCTATGATGTTTATTGCTTAATTGAAAAACTTAAAGGCAAGAGACAAAGCTTGTGAAGAATTGCCTAAAAATCATCTCTTTCGACAGAGCTTACATTTTATGCAAGGACTAAGACAGCTCACTGGAGAGACACATACTTGGGCCCCACTGTTTTGGCGTGAGGCCAGTGGGCCATGCTGATGGACATTAAGACACGCCCCCACAGATGTACTGCAGAATCCACTGGTGTGATGAGAGGGAGGAAGCTGTGCCATCCATCAGCGTACCCTTTATGAAGACCCACAGCAGAATGCTTCTCTCTGGACTTGGTGGAGAGCAGCTCCTTTGATAAACACTATTAATCTTATCTCATGATGCTACTCCCTTTGTGTTCTGCCTACAGCGTGTCCCTTCATCCCAAGCTCCTTTCAGAGCCTGTGATGCAAACCTTCATGTGTTGACCTTACTCTGGCTTTATTACGTGTTCCCTTCTCCCTCTCTTTTCTCACTTAAAATACAATAATAATAAATGACTCTAGCACATAAAGGAATATTTCAGTATATCATCCCAAATCCTTTTGTCTAGGGGTAAAGGAGAGTGTTAAGCAAGACAGATGACTCTTGAAAAACACATGATTGAACTAGGGTCTGATCTGTATATTTTTGATGGAAAAATAAAAAAGTGACCTCGTACTGGCTGAACTCTGAGGACAACCTTGCTCCAAATGGCGTGATATTAGCTAGAATGCGCTTACTTATCAACCTTCTTGTCCTAAACAAGGTGTCCCCCTGCAGCTGCACACTCAGCGCTCATGCACCCCCACACACGGAGCATGCACAAGCCTCCATTCTCCTCAGTGCAAACAAATCCATGTGCATTACCCAGAAATGAGTGAAATAAATGGCTGGAGAAAGGTTAAAAAAAAAAAAAAGTGACCTCGTACTTTCATGTGGCGTAGTCCTTAAAGCTAGGCATGAACTGAAACTGGACACCCCTCCCCCCCGCCCAGGGCATACCTCAGCATGGGCCTCGGCTCTTCCAAGGTGACCGGTTGCATCATATGAAAATATCAGCCATAAAAATAACCTTAAAAAAACTTACGCTGATAATTCAGTCAATAATAAATATGGCGCCCTGCTATTTCAGAAGCAAGAATTGTAGCTACTCCTTTCTCCCTTATTTACTCTGTTAGAGATTCGGGGTGCTCCTGGAGGAATGCCTCATCATTTCTCCAGATAAGCAAGAACCAGAGAATACCCCATGGACTGTTCCAGCACTTTTATGTCCCATTGACTTATCTTCCCCTTGACAACTGAGCCCTTCTTTCCCATTCATTAAAATTACATATAATCCTTCTCTAAAGCTGTTCATTCGTCCTTTATCCCCAAAGTTACCTGTGAAATAGGCAGCCCACACTTTCATATATGGCATTTAGTAAAGAGAAAGTGGAGGATGCCAAACAAGGGGATAGAAAAAGAAGAAAAAATCCACTATTTGTGGGAAACTTGCACTTCCATTAAGAAATGCAAATTTCCCACAAATAGTAGGTGGCTTCATTTTGTGAAGTTAAACAAGATAGACTCAGAAATCCTTCCAGTGATTAAATTTAGGGACAGTGAACAACTCTGCTGCAATAGTCTTTGGAGTTACTCCATTTTTATTGGCTGCTGAAGACGGTAAGCCAATCTTGGCCTGGGAACCTTGCCTACACTACTTACAGAAGTCTCCGTGCTTCCTGGTACGTTTCCAATAAACATGTGGGAAGCATATTCTTGTCCCACCTCAGTTCCTAACCTGTGTCTTTTTGTTGTTGCTTATTTGCTTACAATCCCCCCGTCCCTTCTTTGCAGCCAAGGTCTACTGGATAATTACAGGAAAATTAACGATAATGACACCAAGTCTAATTCAAATACAGGGTAGAGAAAGAGAAATTTCTGTCAAAAACAAGCAGATGTTAGTGAAGGTGTTATTAAATGCATTATTATAAATGTTTGACCTGATGATTAGGTGATGAATATGACTGAGTCAGAGAACAAGAACTTCAATCTAGTATCAAGTTATTTTTTTTAACTGCAATATCTAGAAACACATGCAAGTCATATTTCAAATTAACTGATAACAACACAAACCATACAATAGTCACCCTGAAAACTGCAGGTGCCTGAAATTAACACCTAGTGAGAAGAATGTTAAACCCAATGTCATTTCACCTAACAGGAACTATCCTAAGAGTCCTGGACTAACTTATTTTTTCTTTTATTGCGTTGAGGTGCTATACAGTTAAAAACGTTCACCTATATGGCATTTGACATAGTTGATGCTTTAAAAAAAAAACAAACTCATCTGATCTTCACAAAAACCAAGTAGGAAGATTACTTACTATTCTCAGTTTTTAAACAAGGAAACTGAGGCTCAGAATGGCCAAGTGTTTTGTCCAAAGCCCCACACCTGGCGGGTGGTGGTGGTAGGCTGACCCCAAGTCGGCCGGCCTAAATGTTACTTCTACTTCTATTTGGGCCACACAGGTGCAATTTTTCCCTTTTACTTGATTCATTTCACATGGAATGCTCATGTGGTTGGGGAAAAATCCACTCTATTCAAGGGCTGCTTCTCTTATTATTATTACTTTGTAACAACAATTCAAGAGTAATACCTGAATTTATTGAACTAACTCATTGCACGTTTCTGCGCCAAACAAAAACATCAACATACCCTTTTACGAAGTTTTTCTGCAGCATCAAGTTCAGCTTTAATAGTCTTATCAAATTTATTTAATAGTTTAGGCTTCTTTTTCTTAACTGAAAGAAAAAAGAGGTTTTTATTTTGTATTTCTTTGTCTAGAAATAGATCTTAAGAATAGTGATGTATAAGTAATGAGAAAACTCTCACTGCAGGAGCAAGCCCACCCCCAGCTCTCCTCTTCCCACCCCCATCCCCAGGACACAGTCAGCAGCTGTCCAAGTGAGATAACACAGCCCTCACTTATATGCTCAAAGGTGTTCCTGGGAACCTGGGTGGGTACTAGTATCCTGAAACTCACAGGATACTGGCCTAGGTTCTGGAAGGAAAATGGTAGGTGTGATTTATAAATTCTTAGGATCGACTTCTTGGCGACCAAAAGACTGCTGAAAAGAACAGAATTTCATAGTCTAGCACTCAAGGTCCTCCTGTTGCATCATGGACTTACCACTCCAGCTATATTTCCTCCTTCAGCCAAACACGACCATCCTGTGTTCCCCAGATAAGCTCTGTGCCATTTCTCATGCTACTTTCTCTAAGTAAAATGGCCTATTCCTTATCTTTGTCAGTTGTAAATATGCTCATCCTTCAACAACTAGCTCAAAACCCTCTGCCTCCCTCACTGCATTCCCCCTCTGGACTGAAGTCCACAGCACTCTGCATATCTCTCTTTCATGGTCCTTCTCCCATAGGACTTATATTATAATCATTTGTGTAACTTAGTCTTTTTCCAAACCCTAAGCTCCTACAAAGGGGCACCATGTCTTAGGTGCAAACTCAACTGATTCATGCTCACTTAGCATGAAGTCACATCCAGCAGTGGGGGCTGGGGGAGGTGGGTCCTGCTGGGCCCACCTAGCAGTGCCCATGGGTGGATGGATGCCGTGTACTCCCTGGAAGCTTAGAGCAAACCATCCTGTCTGAGGGCTCAGGAGAGTGACAAGAGCGGGACATGGAAGGGTAAGTGGGATGTTCCAGATAGAGGAGGGGGCTGGTGGTGGGACAAAGGATGGAGTGGGAGAGAGAGAGAGAGAAAGAATGAGAACAATCAGAAGAGATGTTCTTCATCAATGTTCTGACACTGAACCTATCCATCCAATTGCTTCTGCTCTCTCCTGTCACACAGAAGAAGGGGCTCTCCTTCCTAAGGTCCCACCCCTACACACACACACACCCTGAGTGTCTCCTCACTCCCTGGCTTTATTCTGGGCATCTATTTTCATCTAATAATGCTGAGGTCTTTGCCGTCCTAAAGCAAGACAAACCTCGGCCTACCCTCCTCTAACTGCCATCCTCTCTTACCCTTCCCTCACTCCTGGCTCCCCCTCAGCTCACGGTGTTCTGGCTTCCTCACCCAACACAGGGCAAAAGCAAGTCTTCTGGAAGAGAGGGCAGCTGAGTGGTTAAGAGTCAGATGACAGGGGTCTGCGTCCCAGCTCTGTGACTTCTAAGTTTTGTGACCTAAGCCAAGCTGCTACTAAACTTTTCTGACTCCTACTTCCCTCATCTGTAAAAATGGGGGTAGTGTTTTTGAGAATTAAGTTGATATTGCGCATGAGCAGGTAGCACAGTGCGCCATACATTACGTGCTCCGTAACTGACAATGAAGGATGTTTACTGCCTTCTCTGCAGGCCCCTTTCTTCCTTTTCCTCCCTATCCTACCTGACTCCTCTGCAGCATTGGGCACAGTTGACTCCTCCCTCCCTTTTTTTTTTTTTTTAAGATTTTATTTATTTATTTGACAGAGAAAGACACAGCGAGAGAGGGAACACAAGCAGGGGGAGTGGGAGAGGGAGAAGCAGACTCCTTGCCGAGCAGGAAGCCCGATGTGGGACTCGATCCAGGGACTCCAGGATCATGACCTGAGCCGAAGGCAGTCGCTTAACCAACTGAGCCACCCAGGCGCCCCCTCCCTCCTTCCTGAAATGAACGCTCTCCTTGACTTCCGTGTTGCTCACTTTCCTAGTTTTCCTCCTTATTCTCTGGCCTCTTCATTTCCTCCGTGGCTCATCTGTGGGTCCTGCCCTCCACTGCTCCCCAGGATGTGGTGCTCTCCAGGGTCAGTCTTTAGCCCTGTACAGGGCTTTCTTTAACAGTTGAATTTCCAAATGGAGCTACAAATTAACAGGTTAATGTTCTTTTGCTTTATAGAAATCATAAATCCATGTGCCTATGATTTATGATGCAGATGCCTCATGCTCAGTAGATAAGAAATCAAATGCACTACTGCTCACCACTCTAATATTTTTCATATCTGTTCTCTTCCAGAGGATGACATCATATCCATCTGGTTGTCCAAATCACAAACCTGGTTAGAGATGGCAAACAAAACAGGGCAAAGAAGGAGCATGTGGATTTGTCCAAACAAAGACTGAATGGAATCACGACTATTTTTTTAGCATTCGCTCTGTGCCAGTCCCCAGGCTGGGTGCTTTACCTATACCTCCTTTTATTCTCTTAACCTCCCAGACATAGTGAATTTAACTTCACAGGCATGTCACTGGGCTTCCAAAATGGTCAGTCCCTTGATACCTCCCCTCTCTCATCCACACAGGATGATACACACTTATTTCCCACTCAAATGGTTTCCAAAGGGAGGGACATTCCCTAAAAACTCTTGGCCTCTTGCCTCTCCCCACAGGGGTGGTGGTGTGACTTCTCTGCTCACTGGGTTGGAGGATATGACAAGGTTGTGTGGTTCCGTCCCACCTTTTCTCTTCCTCCCAAGAGCACACGTAGTATGCTGAGCTGACTACAATCTTACAGGGAGGCCCCCACATGGGGGAACTAGGGCTATTCCAAGCTGCCTGGAGTGGGCAGTTAAGTCTAATTCTGGGGTTCATTATTAATCAACCCATTATTCCTGCTCATCTATGCCCCATCCTTCAATTCAGCTGTCATCAGCAAGAAAGCTGACACTCTGATCACCTTTCCTTTTTTTCACTCCTTGTGCATTTTTAAAAATTGTTATGCTCTTTTATTTGTTTATTCCACCTTTCTCTTTCCCCTTCCCCGAGCCCTCAGGACCCCTGTTGTGAAAAAATATAAATGGCTAAAGCAGAGAATGATAAAATAGTGAATAATGGGTGTTTTCAGCTGCATGTCATTATATGTTAGCATATATGCTGAGGATATGGAAAACAAATTGATGTTTGACTGAGATGTGACTGCATGGTGGTGAGTTAGTGTCTTGTCATCTCAGCACTGACTTATGTCTCTCGATTGCTCATTTCGGTTTTGCAGAAGTGTCTGTCAGCAGAATGCCAGCAGGACCAAGAAAGCCTGGCGTGCACCTGACTACGGGATGTTACTGCTAGCATCACTGGTTTTCCCAAATATGTCTCCCGTTTTATAAAGTTAACGTAAGATTTATCCCTAAGAAGAAAAATAAACTATTGGCAGTTCAACCTAGTCAGCAGTACAATAGTATGCTTGTTAAACAGTTATACATTATAAGTATCTTAATGTCAAAATATTTCAGTATCATCGCAAAAAGATAAACAAAATATTAAAAATCTTATATATCTCTTTTCACATATCTTCAAGTTTAGTAAGTCTCTTAGAAATTCAAGTTTGGTCCTATCATGACTATTTTTATTTTTAAATGTATAAAAAGCCTAAGGCAATTTTCCCAATTCTAAAAAACACAGAGCTCCTCCTTCTTGTTAAGGGGAGGCACATGGCCAAGCCACAAAAGCAATGATGAGTTCTTATGTTTAGCAATGGAACCAGGCTCCCAAGTGGTCTGGGCCTCAATTTTCTCATCTACAACGTGGGCTGGCTTTGTTAAGGTCTCTTTGAACTTGGAAATCCCGTGCTTTTAATTTTAAGTTGATTGAAATCACATTAATAATCTTTCAAAGTAGACCTAGAAGGCACTGGAATGAACTGTTAATTTTGTTGAACATGGGTTTCTTTTAAAAAATGGTTAAGAAGGAAGTTATTCATGCTGTATTAAACTTTGTATAAAAATAATCACTGTCATTGCAAGGATTTCATTTTTTTCCCAAAAACACAAAGAAGGAAAAAAGTGCATTTCAGTTGCATTTCAAATTCTCAGTTCCCTTGCCATGCCACGGTTGAAACATTAAGAGGAAATAAGAAGAAAAAAGAAAGACAATAAAAGAAAAATTAGTATGAGAAAAGCTCTAGCAATACATACTCAGATTATATAAAAATGAATGTTGATTCCCTTTCATTTCCACTTGGTCCACAAATGAAGATTTTTTTTTTAAAGATTTTATTTATTTATTTGAGAGAGAGAATGAGAGAGAGAGAGAGAGCACATGAGAGGGGGGAGGGTCAGAGGGAGAAGCAGACTCCCTGCTGAGCAGGGAGCCCGATGTGGGACTCGATCCAGGGACTCCAGGATCATGACCTGAGCCGAAGGCAGTCGCTCAACCAACTGAGCCACCTAGGCGCCCCAAATGAAGATGTTTTTATATTACAGTGCATGGGTAGAATTTGGCCACTAAGTGGTCAAATTTTCCCCAAGAAAAACAGACACAGGATCTCTGCATGATTCTATGTTCTAAACCCACCGCATTAAAGAGAGTGATGAAGATGGCAATGTCTGCCACATGGTAGACAGAAAAGTAACAATTCTCTAACCAGTCTCCCTGCTTCCAGTCTGTTCCCATGGTCTACACTGTCCTGAGGATCTTTCTGTCCATGTCTCCCACTCTTTATATACACCTATGGACCCCTGAACATACAAAATAAAAATGAAATTCCTTAGAGAGCCATGCCTGCAGTCCTGATCCTGGTTACCCACCCAGGAGGAATGAAAACATACGTCCACACGAAGACTTTGATGTGCATATTCACTGCAGCACTATTCACAGCAGCCAAAAAGTAGAAAAAGAACAAACGTCCATCAGCTGGTGAATGGACAATCTGTGGCAGAAATATAATGGACGGGGGCACCTGGGTGGCTCAGTTGGTTAAGCGATTGCCTTCGGCTCAGGTCATGATCCTGGAGTCCCGGGATCGAGTCCCACATTGGGCTCCCTGCTCGACAGGGAGTCTGCTTCTCCCTCTGACCCTCCTCCCTCTCAT